CATCTTCCACCACATCACCACCACCACCAACTCCTCCTCCTACTCGTCCTCTTCCTCCACCACCACCACCTCCTCCTCCTCCTCCTTCTCCTCCTCCTCCTCTTCCTCTTCCACCACCACCACCACCACCACCCTCAAAGCTCACTCTTCTCCACCCACATCGTCCACGTCTCGCCTCTGACGAGGACGTCAGCTCCATCGCAATGCCTCTTCCGAGGGACCCTGTCAGGCCTGACCCACAGGGACCCTTCCTCCTTCCTCAAAGCTGAGCTCTACCGTGCTGACCTCTCTAAGGTGACTCGATGTCTGCCATCCCTCCCTCCCTCCTAGTCTCCCATTCTACCGTCTTGACCCTCATCGTCTTCTTCCTCCCAGGCGGCGACTGCTCGGGTCAGGATCGTCACTCACCGCCGTACCCTCAACGAGCTCTGACCTACCGGGCCCGTACATCATTATCTGCTGAGGAGTGAGACCGGGTCCTGCTAGCTGGAGTCTGAGCGCAGCTCCTGATGAGAGTCCGATCAGTGAGTCGTGAGTCGCTCTCAGTCGGTAGTCGGAGCTTGTTATGAGTAAACTTAGTATTGACAATCACCTGAGTGCATGCCTTGAAACTTGAACGGCACTGCCGCAACGTCAAGGTTGGTGACTCGATTAGCATCGGTCGTTCTGATCTTGAATTGGAACTTTCCGCCGAGCCGACGTCATGACTCCGATCTGCCGCGGCGGGCCCGGCGGGGCATCGGTGCCGGGCCAATGGAACTTAGGCGCACTGCCAGTGTCCGCTGCCAGGAGTAACTGAGAGTCGGCCCGGAGGCTGGCTAGTACCGTAGTACCGCCGTTACAATGATGTACTCAACTTGCCATGATCCGAATCTACAAAGGTTGAGACGGCTAAAAATCAGAACCATACTATACTATCGGATAAGTGACGGACGGACTGAGTCGCCGGGGAGGGCCTCGGACTCAGAGTCGGACGGCCGCCGACGGTGGTAACCAGGGCCTCATCCCCCCGCCGGTCCCGCCCGTGTGCCCGGCCCCAGTGGCCCGGCCCGCTCTGCGGCCCGCTGTCCGCCGACCGTGACGGCGGGCGGTCGGGCCGCCGGGCCGTGTTGAGTAAAGTCACCGGTAATAATAACTTAACCCGGCCAGCGCCCCCCGACTCGTCACTCGAAAAAAGGCTCTAGCTTATAATTTAGTCAAAAGATGAGTAATAAGTTTTGGTACTGTAGGGGAGCTCCGGAGGCTCCGGTATATCCACCGGCTCGGAGTTGAAGTTGAGGGTGTAACCTAGAAGGAAAGTGGTAACTTGCTCGGAACAGTCAGACATGGCGAAGAAGGTTCTGAGTGATACACAGACTGATCTTATCTTCAAAACGTACATTCTTTTTTATTTCATGAAAACAGAGGTTTTCGCATTTGCCGTGACCACAGCTTCGGAGGGCCGGAGGGCCGGAGAGTCTTTGAGGGTTCATAACCTGTTGGATCAGCGCACCCCTTTTCTGAAGACCCCTCTTTTTCTCATTGTTTTCTACCGGTACAGTTCTGTCGAAGGAAGAGGGTGTATTTATCTGCCACACCGAACCTTCGAGACAGATACAGTCATGAGTACTTAAAATACTTGTAGCAGGATGCAAAGGTTTTTAAGGTAAAGTGGGTCACGTCAGGCTTTAGTAAAATATAAAGCGAGGCCCCGAGGTTCCGTGCAGTAAATATCTGTCGACAACCCTCAACTCTACTTCAAAAAACTTGTTTGGGGTGGTCGACTCTGCAAGAAAAAAAATCTAAAAACAATTTAAGTCTCATACTTGTTTTTAAAAACCAGATCCCCTCAAAGAAAATCGAAGACACTCGTTTTGGAAAAAGAGACTTGCGTGCCTTTCAATTGCATCCGTGCTGCACTTTGTGCAAACATCCGTAGGGTACCCCCTGCATACAATACCCCAAATGTTGTGTTGTTCCTGATATCAGGGTTTATGTTTTTCCAACCCTTTAGTTTTGATATGTAATGCATTAATTCATTTCCACAAAGCATGAGCGTTACTGCTCTGGCCTTCACCCTTTCAAAACGTACCTGTTGACCCACCCCCACAATGGACAGCACCACTTCGACTCCTACTTTACCTTACAGATCCCCGTGACCTGCTATCGACTAGCACCTCGGGACCACCCCGATTTTTAATGACCCGGTGATTTTCAATTCTCCCAAAACCACCGGTGGTATGCCCTATCTTTCATCGCACGTCAATCATTTGTACCCCTCCATTTCCCATTGTTTTCATGGGATGTCTACCCGGATCTGACTGAGCCACGAGGCCCATGACTCGACATGACCCTCATTAGGGTCATGTACCCCTACCCCCCTTTTGACAGAGGGTTTTAGTAAAACCCGTCGGTGCGCGACTGATAAATACCCACCCTACCTCATTTGTGAGTACTTCGATAGTTGGCCATTCATACCCCCAAGATATCTACGAAGTACGGGGTACTTTTAGCAAGTAATCTCAGAGTCGAAGGGAACCACCCGTCCCTCAGCCCTTCCCCCGTGACACATGATCATCATCCTCTTCAATTGTTCCCCACCCCACCATCACACAGTGAGCATACCCACCCTCCCTCCCCACCTACTCTCCGGGTTCGATTGAACCATTGACCACCCCACAGTTTCCACGACTACCCCACCATCCCCACGGTCTAGCCCGCTAGAGTTCTAGCCAGCTACAACCAAAACGAACAAGTACCCCGTACTCCCTTAGAGATTGTACCACCCCTACCCCACCAACTCAATCATTTATGATCAACAACTGAAATATCTCATCACCCACCCACCACCTCTATTCCACCCACCCCTACCTAGGTACCTCGTCCCCTACCCCTACTCGCAGACACCAAAGGAGGTGGGCCAATTTACCACCCTTTCGATTCGCCTTCTTCCATCGCTACCCCTACCCCCTTATACTCCTTCCTTCTCACCCACCCCTCCGTACAGAGCCTCTTTGTCCTCTTCCCATCCACCCTACCCAATTACACCCCACCCATACCTTCACGATCCGACTCCATCATGGTCTTTGCCCACCCCCTTAAGTTCCTTGCAATGTACCCCTCCACTTACACCCGCTCACACTTTACCCTACCACCCACCCCCTGTGTCTGCGCCCCTCCCTGTCCCCGTGCCCCCCTGTATATACCGGACCCCCGACCTCCTCTCTGCACCGACTCTCTTTCCTCTTCCGTCCTCCACGCTCCACGCAAGCGTTTTCCTTCCCTCCTCCTCATAGCCGGTCCTCCTCCTCTCAGCAAGATTGTTCTTTCCTCTCCATTCTCCTCCTCCTGTCTGCTTCCTGGAACCAACATGGAGTCTGCTCAACATCACATGACGGAAGAGATGGAGAATGACGTCTTTACCGATAGAATGATCTTGGTGTCTGTCGACGCGCAGTTGAACAGGAAGAAAACTCACAGGCGGCCTGTCTGTGATGCTGTGTACGTGCCATGCATCAATCGCACCAGAGAAGTGGCACATGGTCCTCAGATCCAACCGGAGCCTATCGCACCGGCCAACTCGGACCCCACTGCACCGGCCGATATGGGTACCTCACGCAAGAGGGCACGCAGTCCTTGCCCGAGGGATTGTCGTCCGAGAGTTTTCCGCAACCGACGTGGGGAGAGAGTTGTGACGGTCAGGACAGAGGCGCCGGGCACTCCACTGGACCCTCTCCTCCTTCAGCTCGCCGACGAGCCCGTGTGCAATGGTGGCCTCTCTCGCTACTTCCTGCTCGAGCTCCTGAGGAAGGTTCGTGACAGTGCCATGATGCCGCACTCGAACCCGGCAGCATCTTCCCATGCCATCGACACGCTGACAAAGGTTCCTGCTGAGGAATTGAAGGAGGAGAACGCTCAGACAGTATGTGCGATCTGCCATGAGAACATGGAGGGCGAAGTGAGGCAGATGCCATGTGCTCACAGCTTCCACGAGGACTGCATCGTCAACTGGCTCCAGATCTGCAACAACTGCCCCTGCTGCAGATGCGAAGTCGAGTCCTGCTGCCCTATGTACAACAGGGTGAAGAGGAACTCGATTCGGGGGGAGGTCAGGGAGGAGGCAATGGTTGCCCCCGAGGCGATCATGAAGACTCCGACCCCCCAGGAGTTACTTGTCAGCCTCTACGCAGCGTGCCAGGCGCACCGTGACACTGCTAGGAGCCAGAGGCAGCAGCTAAGGAAGCGATTTTCCTTCTAAGATTAGACCTTGGGCGATAGATGGGTTGTTGTTTAATGAAACATGATTTTTTCACATATTCTTGATTGTGTGTGTTTTGTGAAATACAGCAATCCTCTTGCTGTCATTCATTCTGATAATTCTGCTTGGATTTCTTCCAGGCTCTTGCCCCTGTCACCTCTTATGTTAGATTGCTGGTATTGAAACTAGTTGCACTCTTATTCTTGAACTTTCTCCCTCCCTCCCTCCTCCTCATTTGTCCTTGCTCCTCTCTTTTCTCACATGGTCTCGACGAACTGCGTGCTCGGAGCCAACACCCACAACACCTGTACATTCCTCAGTCCCCTTCCTCCTCTCAATGAGACCAACCGAGAAGGCGCAAGCTACAGTGAAGCCAGTAAAGATCATCTGCTGCCCGAGCGATGACATGAGCGTGCCAAAGAACTGCCAAAATTCGTGACAACAGATCCTTTTCCATCTCCTCCTCCTCCTCCTCCTCCTCCTCCTCCTCCTCCTCCTCCTCCTCTGGTCATGCTTGAGCTCTTCCTCTTCCTCCTTACTCCAACTGCTACTTCTCCATGTTCTGGATACCTGTGTCATGCAGAACGAGCCTCCCCTGTTCACACAGTTGAGGACGAGAGCACTACAAGCGCAAGCGTTACCAAGCGAGCACCGACGACATGGCAGAGGCCAGGCTCCTGTACTGCTTCCCACAGAAACTTCAGTCACGAGGAAGCATGTGAAAATTCTCTGCCTGCGAAGGGAAAAGCTCTCCAACCATCAGCCACGGCACCTTAATCGAGCCGTCAGGATGAGGAGGACGAGGACGAGGACGAGGACGAGGAGGAGAACTCACGGGGCCCCAACCAAAGGAGAAGGAGGCAATGTAGATCAACAGCCCCATGCTCGCCATGCTCGAAGCTGCGCGTGCAATGAGCCTGGTAGCTGACGAGAGGCAAGAGAGAAAATCACCGAGAAGAGGTCCTCCCGCAGCGCTCGACCCCTGGCCAAGAGGAGGGCGTGAGAAGTGAGAGGAAGAGGGAGGGAGCATCGTCACTTGGAGCGAGAAGTTGAGCATCATCAGCGCCATGCCCAGTGTCATGCCCGCCCCCGAACCTGTCAGGCGAGGGAGATGAGAAGAAAGAAGAGAAATCAGATAGAGCCAGATGGAGCAAGAGCAAGAACGCGCGCGTGGAGGGAGGAATGGGAGGCTCGTGCCTACTAGAAGCTTCTTCCTCCCCATGCTGTCCACGCTCGTGGCCGAGAAGGCAGTGACGATGACCTGAATCTCAACCGTCAGTATCCTGACTCGGCCCAGAACGTCGCCGCCTTGCCGTCACCTGTGTCAGAGCCACAGCAAACGAGACGAGGTTTGCCATGCTCGCCATGCCAGCGCTCGAGAGGATCTGAGGACGCACGTGAGGGACGCCAGCTCGTGCTGGGGAGAGGAGCCGCACCTGCCCTGAGAAGAAGATCACCGTGTTGATGCCGCACAGCTGCTGGAGGAGAATCATCCCCGCCGCCAAGATCTGCATGCTCAGTCAGAGGAGGGCTGAAAACAGGAGGGAGGCGGGAGGGAAGGGAGGGAGGGCGGAGGGAGGCAAGAGATGATGGGAGGAGGCAGTGAAGAGGAGGCAGAGTGGGAAGAGAGAGCAGGGGGAGGTACAAGGGATCCATCATCACCAGCGATCGCTGGACGTTGGTAGGAATGCTATCCAGCTCATATCGCCATCGCGAAAGGAGCGACGATCTCCGGCTCCTCCTCGGAGAGTCAACAAACTCTTCCTCCTCCTCTGAGACTGACAGCTCGTCCTGCATCCCCAACTTTCCAGCATACGCATTCGCGCGCTTCGAGAACCCTTTCCTCTCCAGCCACCCCGGGCTCTCAGGGAGGAAGAGCAACGACAGCCCGGCGAACATGAGGGAGCACATCGACCCGACCAGAGCCATCTCCCTCCATCCCACCGCCAGCCCCAGCGAGTAGCTGAGGAGGATGCCAAGGGTGCAGGAGAGCTGGTAGAAGGAGCCCAGAAATCCCCGCAGCCTCCTCGGAGAGATTTCGGCGATGTACATGGGAGTGGCTACTGTTGCCACTCCTGCTGCGAAGCCAGTGACTAGCCTGCCGAGGAGGAGCATGGGGTAGCTTCCTCCCAGGAAGACGCCGGTAAACCCCAGGAAGAAGAGGAGGGAAGCTATCAGCACCACGGGCTTTCTCCCCAGCGTCTCTATCCTCCTGCTGCTGACAAGGCCGGCGATCACAGCCCCGATGTTGATGATGGAGGCAAAGGTCGAACTCTGGAGCGAGGAGAGAGCATTCTCGCTTGCCAAAGAGTCTAGGCACGGGCTCGTGTACCCCAGGGCATACCCGAACAGCAGCGGCCCCATGGCGGCAATGGCTGCGGCGAGGATGGGGAAAATGTTCTTGTACCTGTCCTCGAGAAGAGGAGAGACTGCACGACAAGTTTCAAAACATTGACGCGACTGAGTCATACAGACCTCTTGGTGACGGCCCAACGACAGAAGCCCACGAAAGGAAGTCTGAGGGAGAGAGGAGGGATCAGCGGCTGGTTACATCTCAGATCGCAAGTACGTCTTAGGTTGAGGCTGGACTTCTCCAGCTCCGCCATCGCCTTCTCTGACACATTGTGGAACTCATTCGTTGCCTGCAATCTCGTCATGTGCATCGCCTCATCTCAACTGAAGACGCTCATGAGAGGGGAGGAGAGGAGAGACAGAGAGAGCGAGGAGGAGCGCGTGAGGCAAACGTACCACCATGATCGGGTCGGCCGTCTGGATCCCCAGTCGCCGTCTAACATTCTTCACAGCATTTGTTGCTCTCTCAAAAGAGGAGCATGTGGAGAGCTTCGAACGAGTGCTCCGAAGATTCATGTGTACAATGGCCGATTGCCGGCAACCAGAAGCACTGGGCTTTCCCACACAACTCAGCATCTGGAATCCAGCGGCTCTCTCTACAGACAAAGTGAGGACGCCAAGAGATGGTACACCAAGAGATCACCATAGAAGATGAACGCCAGGCAGATATGAAGGATTCTCTGGATCGACATCCTGCTGGACAAGTTACTTTGAGGTACATCAATTCCAACAACCGTGCACTGGGGAACAGGACAAGCAATGGGGTTTGGTGCTATACCCTCTGTTCTGCTGCACCATCTCAGCACGGAAGTCGACCTCTCCTGCTCTTTGAGTCGAAAGCTTGTCTTGGACTTCTTCGTCCGATCCCTGTTGAACGCTGATGGATACCCGACGTTGCCCCCTTTCGATTGCGATATTTGGGGTCTGTGATCGCTTTGCTCCCTGACGACGATTGATCTGCAATGAACCACCTTGTGTCTTCGCACTGCTTATTTTGTCTGTTTGTCGTTGGAAAGTTTTGATCTTTGCCTTCCTCTGTCCCTTTCCACAAATTTGCGCCTTTGCTGCAAATACTTAGAATTGCAGAACTTAGCACACAGATATCAAGTTGTTGCCAAATGAATCTGCCCCCTTCAAGCTTGTCTTCTTGCTTGTACTCTCACTTGTTCCTGGTATTCCTTCCCTTCCCTTCCCTCCTCTTCCCTTCTCTTCCTTTCTCTTCTCTCAGTCTTTCCGTCCCTTTGCCCCAATCCCCGCCATGCTTGAGTTCCAAACTACTCCTCTACAACCCCGACCAACCCATGACCCCCACCCACCAAAAAACAACCAGTACCCACCATCAATTTCAATGATTCTTGCACCCCCTTCTACTACCACAAATACCCTACCATTTGTAGGGATTTTATTCCCACGTACCAGACTAAAACCTGATGACCCCTCAATTTGTACTCCATCACCTACCCCTGATGACCCCTACCCACTCATGCAATACAACTGAGCACTACCGTTCACTTTTCAACAAAATGGGGGGTGGGGGTAGACTTTTGGTGCAAAGGCTACCTTGTCAGCAGGAGGTCGGAAAAAGGACCCACCATGACCCACCATGGGGGTAGTAATACAATAATTGAGTAATATTTAATTAGGACATAATGGACATGGGTGGGGTATTCCAGATAAGATGACCCGGTGATAAGTGATAATTTGATTATCAGCCAATATTTCTAGCCTCAAGTTTTAATCTTAAAATAATTTTGTGACTTCATAATACTGTATCTCAATTCTGTACTGATGAGCTTGTACGGGTTTACACCGTTGTATATATTTATATATAGAATATCTTTAGCTTTTCTAGTATGGCAATTTTTTTTGTTTTATTTTTCATTACACAGTACAGTTTTGAGGGGGCTACACTATTGTTGTATTTTACTGGACTGTTTATAAGCCATTCACATACAAAAATGTACAAAGATTCATTTTAGAGTTTTAAACAAGGGATCGGATCGAGTTGTACGGGACAGACCACCCTCAGTGGGAAAAAGAGAGGCCGTGAGGCCTCCCCAATTTCTACCCCACCATACCTTTGATGACCCATGTAAAAATAACCCCTACCCCCATAGATCTCTGATCGTACCCTAGAAAAGTACCCCTTCTTTGTACCCCACGTTCATACAAGGTGGCCACAACCCCTGGCCTCTCCCCCAGTCACGTTCCAAACTCACGGTGACCCGGCGACCGTCGGACGGCCCCGGGCCCGGCAGTCCGGCGATGATCACAGTCACTGGCAGGCTGAGTCACGTACTGTACTGAGGTTACCCGGCCGGGGCAGTCGACGGAGCCTCGGAGTGCGAGTTCAACGGTTCACGGTTGTTAGGCTTGTCACAGTGTAAATGCACTGCCAGGCTGCCCGCAACGGAACGGTGAGACAGTCCGGTCCGTTTTTGCTCACTGACCGGGACTCAGGGCCTCACGGACACGTCCGTGCAGGCTCTGTTTTAACATGAAGTTCGATCGTGCCATCGGACTGAAGTAACTTGACTAACATTCCGACAAGTGGTGTAAACTTCACTAACAAGTTGGCATTCGAGTCAAGCTTCAAGTTGCGCCATGCTCCGACTACTCAGTATAATGCAGCAGACCGGCCCCCGACCGTGACGGTGAACCGCCGTGAGCGGTTTTGCGGCCGCTGACGACCGGAAGACGCTTCAGCGAAGCCACTTCCGAAGTTCGCTGAGCGGTAGCAGCCTCGAAAAAGTTCAAAAATCTCTTGACCCGCCGCCAGCCGGGGCCGCCGGGCAGTGATCGGAAAGTAGCCTAGTGAAGTCTTCAAGTTGAGGCTCAGCGGCAGTGACTCAGTGATCAGGCCCCGGGTGGCCACGGCACTGCAGCTGCTCAGTCGCCAGGGCACAGCCGAGCGGTCACGTAAGGCCCAGTGCGAGAACTTTATCCCGAGGCGCCGGGCCGGAGCAGCCCGGCACTGAGCAGGAGCAGAACGAGGCCTTGTCAAGTCTGACTCAGTGGCTTGAGCCTTGCCGGCGGTCGGTGCCTGTTGGAGACAAGGGGAGCAGACCGTCCGGACGGAACAAGTCGAGCAGGGGGCAGGTGAAATCTCGCAGAGCAAGGGCCCAGCAGAGCTTCAACTGCTCATGAAGTATGGGAGCCCGCGGATGTACTTGTTCAAGCTCTGAAAGCGCGTCAGGACGCAGCGGGGAAGGAGAGGAATGAGTGTGTGCTGGTAGTCTAGAGTCACCTGCGAGAAAATCGTGGAGCTGATAGGAGCGCCAAGTGCCTGCCATGCCACCAGAGAAGCATGAGCAGCAGGAGCAGGAGCAGGAGCAGGAGCAGAAGCAGAAGCAGAAGCAGAAGCAGGAGCAGGAGCAGGAGCAGGAGCAGGAGCAGGAGCAGGAAGGAAGATATGATGTATACCTGCAGTGGATTTTTTGTGACATACTCAACGTAGATGTGGCTATAGATCTGGCGCAAACATTCGCGAAGAGACTAATGAAGACAGGCAGGCAGGCAGGCAGGCAGGCAGGCAGGCAGGCAGGCAGGCAGGCAGGCAGGCAGGCAGGCAGGCAGGCAGGCAGGCAGGCAGGCAGGCAGGCAGGCAGACAGGCAGGCAGGTAGACAGACAGAAGAGAAGTTTGTCAGGCTGCAGCGCTGGGAGGTTCAAGAGATCTGGACCGGTACAGGCGGATCCGTGATGAGGATAAATCGCAACCCCGTGGGAGTCTCGTAGTAGTGAAGCTTGTAAGTCGACGTGCTACAGCAGGGGGAAAAGATTCCCATCACCTCTACACGTGAGCACAGCAAGAGACATACTTGTAACTTTGGAGCGCGTCCGGTACGAGCTTGCCGTCCCCTCCCGGTCTCATGGCACAGACCTGTTGGACAGACGAGCAAGGGGTAAGGTTTGTTTCAGCAATCACGCGAGCCGGCAAGAGATTTTCAAACGCACCGTTGCTGGAAAGATAGGAACACAAAGGAAAAGAGAAAAATATTCGTCATCGGAGCGCCGGAAAGCAACAAAAGAGCTCAAGGAAACCTTTCAGGGAGAAGAGGAGTCCGAAGATGAGCTTCTGCTCCTCAGGCAAGTTCTTGGGCCGTTTCACCTGACATGCAAGCCTTCACTGAGATCGATCCTGCCCCCTCCGCGTTCTCCTCCCTCTCACCCTATGCCAATCCTCATAGTAGAGGCAGACTCCGTTTCTACCAGGAGAGGTCAAAGAGATTCATGGCATGCGTATCATGTCTTCGTCATGTTCGTACCTGTCAAATAAATAGAAGCAATATATCATGGCTCCTCAGGGCTGACTTGACCCCTGAAATGTCGAGTCAAACATCCTTAGGCTGGTAGGAGAAAATCTGTCTTTCCTCAAACCTTCCCTTCCCTCAATCTTTCCCTTACTCAATCCCCTCCTTTCCTCGTCCCTTTCTCTTTCACTCGTAACCTCCATTACCCGTTGACGTCCCGGCATCGATTCTGCTTCCTTATGTCTGATTGGGGTCAACCCTCCTCCCTCTCCCGCTCTCGCTCTCCGCCTGATGCCATACCTTACCATACCTCCTCCCTCCTCCCTCCTCCCTCCTCCCTCCTCCCTCCTCCCTCCTCCCTCCTCCCTCCTCCCTCCTTCCCCTGCCCCCTCTACCTCCTCCCTCCCTCTCGTCAGCCATTCTATTCCTCGTCTCTGAGGCAGGCGCGGGAGAGGCGGGGGCCTTGTAGCAATGCAGCGAGAAAGCGAGGTGGATCGGCTGGCCAGCCTGCAAGGTGAGTCGCCGCCATGCTGGTCAACCTCTGAGCATCCCGCCATGCAGTAGAGCTGAGGCACAAGAAGATGCGAGCCGCGGCGGTAGGCCGCTCCTTGGAGGCTCTGCGACGCAGGAAGAGAAACTTGGACGAGGTGGGAGGGGGAGGCAAGGCCTGCCCATGCTGAGAGATGCGCAGGAGCTGGAGGAGATGCTGATCGTCTCTGAGCTTCGCAGAGTCTATGAGCTCGAGGCATCGCAGGTGCTGCAAGCTCAGGAGGGACAGGTCAGGGCAGGAGGAGAGCAGTTGGTTCCCATGCCGAATACTGTCGAGCGGTCGGTTGCCACCATGGAGGCATCAGATGCTGGCGGGGAAAGGACGAGCATGCAGGTTCTCACCAACCTTGGAGCGGAGCGCCATGCTGACTGCTGCCATGCAGATGCCAGTTGTCAGACAGGAGGATAGCGGTGTTCGGGAGGCAGCACAGGGAGCGATGCAGGAGGGAGCGCGTGCTCGGACCGCTGACGACGAAGATACTTCGTCGCAGAGTGATAATCACGATGACAACGAGGATGCAACAAAAACCTCCGACCCTTCACAGGGAGGTGAAGCAGGGGAGGTCAGAAAGAGGAGAGGGGTATTGAGGTGTGAAGATCTGAACCTGCTCATGGTGCAGGAGACTGAAGGAGAGAAGAGAGAAAGATTGCTCAAGGAGGATGAGAGGCTCTTGAGAAGAATGTTTCATGCCAAGGAAAAGCTACTCAAAGAGCAGCAGGATATGCAGCTGCTATCACAGCAGCAAGAAATGGAAATGCAGGAAAACGATGTACAGGAGGAGCAGGAGCAGGAGCAGGAGCAGGAGCAGGAGCAGGAGCAGGAGCAGGAGCAGGAGCAGGAGCAGGAGCAGGAGCAGGAGCGCAGCGACAAGCACATAAACGACGTAAAGCTGCAGGGAAATCACCAGCAGGCAGAGAGCGGAGCGAGGCCAAGTAATGCTTTGAATCGATACTCACGAGACTTTTGCTGACGGTCAAACAGAACGGCAGAAGAGAAGCGAGAAGGTCGACAGTCAGGGAGGCCCTTGGGAAGGAGAGACACTTCTCATAGATCGGCAACAAGGAAAGGAGTCGGACAGAAAGCGACTGTGACGTTGCCAGAAGGGTAGCGGGTTGGGAGGAAGGAAGCAAAAATGACGGAAGCTGGTGGAAGGCTTAAGCATCAGATGGACTGGAAATACGTGCAGGGTAGGAAACGTGAGTTTACTCGCAAGCATGAAGATGCATAATCTAACAGCTCATGGGATAATGATGTAAAGATATCAACCTTGCTGTACAGCCGAGTGAGGATATTATGTAGACAAAACTGATTGGGCTGATCATGTAAAAGAATAAAGCTTTCAGGATGATCTTATTCTTCTGCCATCTGGTCTTGTTTTTGCCGTAAGGCCTTGAGGCGCTTGTTCTCCTCTTTCCACTTCAACTTCTTCTTATCCATCGCCAACTGCACACCATCAGCATCGCCTCCTCCGCTCCTCCCTCTCACCTTCGCATGCTCTGGGATGTGTCCGGTTGCCGTATGACGACCCTTAGCTCCTTTCCTGCACCAAAGCCTATCAACACCACTGGGCAGCACCAAGGGAGGAGAACCTGCGGCGGGGATACTTCTCGAATGTTCTCTCAATGCTATAGTCCACAACATCAAGAATAGGAGGAGGAAGCGGCTCCGTGAGCACCACCCTCCTCATAGGCCTCACCCCTCCTCCCCAGATCTGAGGGGAAAGTGAGTTGTTTCTCGTACAAGAGGAGGACGAGGAGGATGAGCACGAGCACGAGCACGAGCACGAGCACGAGCACGAGCACGAGCACAAGGAGGACGAGGAAGACGAGGAGGAGGACGAACAGGACGAGGAAGACGAGGAGGAGGACGAGGATGAAGACGAGGATGTAGACGAGGACGAGGAGACAGGCTGGACAAGTCCCATCACCTTGAGCTTCAAGCATCTCTTTGCTTTCTCCGATTTGATCGACTTCTCTTTTTTGGTGAGCCTCGTCCTCCAGGCTTTGGGCCAATGCCTATGTCATGATGAATCGACAATGGGCGGAGGCAAACTCGAAGCACCTGTTCATCCTGATGTCCTTGGCCTTGTGCTTCTTGCCCACGTTCTGCAGCAAGCCATGTGAGTCAAACGAGCACGAGGTGGCTGCGACTTGCCAGCTTGTGTTCGGCCTTCCTGGCCTGGGAGACCATGACAGTCAAGACGCGAGCGATGTTCTTTCGAACGGTTTTGATCTTGTTCACTCTGCCTGGCTGACCTCCAACCTACCAAGAACGACAGTGAGCTGCGATCCTGCAAAGCTCTACCAACCTGCTGCGCAACCCGCAGTGACATTAGCTCGGAACGAAGCTCCTGCTCGAGCTGACTTAGCTCATCGATGGTCTGGAGCAGCCGTCAGGAGGCAATCTCGTCCTTTCACATGGGCCCAACCTTATCCCGGAGATCTTTGGCCTTGATACTGTCTCCTCTCCCGCCACGCAGGGCCATTACAGCCGGGTAGCAGTGAGATTGGAAGGAGCTGGGTTGCGGAGCTGAGGACGGTGAAGGCAGAGAGACTGTGCTGTGTGGAAGCGGCTGAAGTGCTGGAGTAGAGAGGGGGAGGAGGAGAAGAAGGAGAAGGAGAAGAGGAGGGGGGGGGCCATGGCCGAGCAGCCGGAGCATGGAGCGCATTGCCGCCATGGTGGGGCCGAAAGGAGCAGATGGGGTAGGGTGCCAGGGATTGAAGGGGGAAGAAGGGGTAGGGGTACTTTTACAACCGGGAGGGTAGGGACCCTACAGATACAGGAGGTGGGGGTTAGTACACTCTCATTACCCCTACTTTTTACTATTCCATATCATGACCCGTAGTAGGTAAGATTGATGATTCAAGGGGTACTGAGAAATTCGTGAAGGGGTGGGTCACTACCCCCACCCCCAAATAGTACATGAATTTTGCAATCGATTGGAGGTACTGCATGCAATATAGTATATGAATGTATCTGTAGTTTATGTTCCAAATTGAAACATTTTTTATAGTTTATGTGCAGGATATGATTCCACCTCATATTTCTGATGACGAGAACAAAATCTGTCCGTCAATGGGGAATCTAGCTAGGATCATGAGGTGGAGCAGGCGATGAGCGCGGCAGAAGCGGGAGGAGAACAACGACGATGGGGATGAGGACGAGGACGAGGACGAGGACGAGGACGAGGAAAGGATTCCAAGAAGTGGAGGAGGGAAAGAGAAAGCTCAAGTCAGCTTGAGGTGGAGGAGGGGTAGACGAAAGGTGTCGAAGTACCACACTCGTTCATTCGCTCCCGCTCATCCTCCCGATCGCTGATACGTGTCTCGCCACAGGTGCTCTCTCCCCCCAGTGCAGGGTTGAGAGACCGAGACCTCCGTCCTCCGCCATGATGTCTGCGCCGTGGGTCAAGAACATCGTAGGACAGGTGTGCGGCTTTTTCTCTGGGTTGGACTCGGAGGAGGCGAGCAGAGCCTTGTGGGAGGGAAAGTTTGCAGCAAGCAACGTCGCATTGAATGCTGACGCCTTCAGCCATATCGACCTTCCTCTCGAGGTGAAGGAAGGGAACATCGGAACCCTTGGCGTCACAATCCCATGGGAACGGCTCAGCGACCAGCGGGTGGTGTTGACTGCGGAGACAGTGATGCTGCGAGTTAGAGTCAGAGAGTTCGACGACTTTCTGCGGGACTATGTCCAGAGGAAGGAGGAGAGGAAGGTGAAGGAGTGCAGACAGGTCTGTGATCTGAGTTGGGAGGGTGGAGGTTGAAGGGGCATCGCAGGACTTGTGGGCTCGACTGAAGCAGCTGCTGTTCAAAGAGCAGGTGGGATAGTTCCGCTCATGCGACGGGCAAACGTGTCTGATTTGCCTTCCGCAGCTGCAAACTCCTACAATGATGAATTTTCTCTTCGGGATTGTGTTCCGAGTCGACGTAAGAGTCTTCGTACGCGTTTCGAAACCGCTGACGCTGCTCCTGCCCAGATTGTGATCAAGAAGCTGGAGTTGGTTGTTGAGTACATGACGGGGGTTGATACTTCTTCAGAGTTCGTCCTGACAGCAGAAGAGTTGAACATGCTATCTGAGAGCAACGAAGGTGAGGGTCCGATCAGGAAACACAAGCAGGTGAATCTGAAGGGCATCGAGTTGTCATGGAGAGAGGGTGGACCTGTAACAGCTCAACGAATGACAAGCAGCACATCGAAGTCACAGACTATCCTCCGCTCCTCCATAACGGTAAACTGTATCGTAAGCAACAAAGATGGAGGACAGAAGAAGTCGCCGGGGGCTGTCAACCTGCCATCCGAGGAGATCGAGTTGACCTTGGGGCTCGACGAGTTGGACGTTCATGTGGCGCCGAATGTTATCAGCGACGCAATCAGTGTCGTTCGAAAGTTGGTCTTGTACTATGAGAGAGCGGAGAGGCTCGTGCGGGGAAAGTTTGACCCGTCGGCGTTCAACTCCAGACGTCTTCAGTCAGTTGCTGAAGAAGTTGCCGACAACGTAAGGAGGAGGAGATCAGAGCTCAACCTTTCGAATGTCTTGGGAGCCATTCGTACGGGCCGTCGCTATCGTCAGTGCCTCTGGAGGTACCTGGAGGGCGTCTGCTCTGACGACGACAAGAAAGTCTCGGAGAGCGTGAAGGAGCTGGGAGACCTGGAGCAGGGAATGCAGCAGACCACCATCATGGCGCTGAGAGATGCTGTCTTCTCCAAGTTTGAGCCTGAGAGCGAGGAGAGGGCGCGAGGCGAGGACAAGACCTTGAAAACACTGTTGACGAAGAGTTTTGACATCGGCGACCACGACGTTAGCGGTGACATCGATGTATACATCTGGGGCAACCGCCTTCAAGTTCCTGTGCTGGCTGTTGAGAACAGCCTGGATGCTCTCCTACCCTCCGGCTGTCCGTCTTCATTCTTGGCCTGGTCGCAAGTCGGAATGAAAGCTCACGTCGTGGTGGGAACCTGCTCATTCCAAGTCTCTTTAGCAACCTGCTCTGACGACCGAAGTCAAGGGACTCTGAGAATGACGGTCGACGCTGTTGACCTGCAGGCATCGAGGGACTCGACTGGCACGTTCCTCCTCGACCTCACTGTCAAGTCGTGCCAATGTCGTCTGCAGGGCTCGAGGCAACTCACCATCGTGGAGAAGAGAGGAGCGGACGACCTCTGTGTTCTCAGCATGAGGAAGCACCAAGGAGGAGCAGGAGCAGGAGCAGGAGCAGGAGCAGGAGCAGGAGCAGGAGGAGGAGGAGATCTTGGGGAGATCTCGTTGTACATATGCCCGACAAGCATCCGTCTGTCTCCAGACATGCTTCAGTTTGTGGATGTCTTGTTCGACAACCTGAGGGACGTGGTGGAGCTTGCGCTGAACCCGAGATCGGTCGTCGATGCCTCAAGGAGCATAAGGAGAGGGATCCTGTCAGCCGTGAGAAGCTCGGCAGACCAACTGATAGCCGAGAAGCTTGCGAGGAGGAGACTGAGACTGAGCAGAGTAGAGGTACACCTGCCCAACGTGTCTCTCTCCTCCTCCTCCTCCTCTGCCTGCTATCCCGCACGTCTGTCGCTGCAGGGAGGCATGCTTCAAGTGGAAAACGTCTGCGATAGCAGTTCCCAGGACGGCAACGAGTACAAGTTGACATGGAGAGGGTGTGCCGTTGGCGCGGAGCTGTCAGAGGGAGAGGAAGGAGCAGCAGGGAAAGCTGCTGACAGTCAATCCGGCGCGCTCATGAGCCCTGTGGACATGGAGGTGATGATCTCCTTCTCCTGCCAGGACCAGCTCACGTGTGAGGTGAGAACAACATGCAGTCCGATCAGAGTCTTGTTCACCAGCAAGCACTTGTCCATCATGACGTCAGTCATGGCGGAGTACAAGTTCGTCATGGCCTCCGCTCACAAAACTCTCCGCTCCCGCCACTTCAAGGACACGGTGAATCACTTGCGTGAGAGCCTCCGATCGAGCGACTACGAGAGAGATTGGCTGAACCCGCTGATGAGGAGGACGAGGAGCAGGGGTGAGGCGCCGGGGATGAAGACAAGGATACAGATGAAGTATGACGAGATGAACTTGCTACTGAGAGTTCATGGGTCAGATCCCAGCAGCAGCAGCAGCAGCAGCATGGTGATAAGATTTGAAGGCGCCGAGACGGCGCTGCAGCTGTTGGGCGATACGACTGAGGTCAATCTTTGTCTCCGTCATGTGACGGTCATCGGCGACCAGGAGAACAATGGTGCAAGTGATGCAGAGAGCGCGATCATCAGAGGTGGGAGCGAGTCCCATCCCCTCCTCTCGGTGACCTTCAAGTCATCTTGCTCGTCTCAGCCTCCCCTTCACTTCCGTCACGCCATCGAGGGGCGACTCTCTGCCCTTGAGATCGTCCTCTCCGAACACCTCTGCGACTGCGTCAAGGGTTGGATAGACGCGGCAAGAGACAACCTGGCCGGTCCTTCTTCCTACATGGAGAGCCTGGAGGGCCTGGGAGATGCGTTGGAGGGCAGCAGGAGGACAGAGGACGCACGTCCTGCTCCTCTGACATCGAGAGTCTCGCATGAAGTCGCTGTGAACGTCGAGATGTTCCCTATCCTCCTTGTCCTCCCCGAGCAGGAGATGTGCAGGTCAAGGCTGGAGCTGAACGCCTCTGGGTGCCGCTTCCTGCTGCATTCCGACACACGGGAGGACAAGGTGTGGCTCGAGCTGACGGTGCTGCCGGTCATGTTCGACCTGGTCGAGCGAGACGTCAGGAAGGGGCTTGTGAGGCTGGGGGAAGGGGAAGGGGAGGGAGGGGAGGGAGGTAGGGCAGTCTCTGTCAAGGTTGAGCAAGGGAGGGATGAGGGAAGGGATGTCAAGTTAGGAATGGAGGCGAACTGCGGGGATCTTGTGTGCAAGCTCCAAGACAAGGACATCATAGTGGTGTTCCAGTCTTGCATCGAGTTTGCGGACAAGCTCCTGTTCCTGCAAGACTCGATCCGCTCGCTCCTCGGCGCTTTCGAAGTTGACAAGGGCGTGTCAAACCCCCGGATGTCTCCCCGGGACAGCGAGGGGGCACAAAACGTCGAGCCCTGGCTCTCGAGCCTCGTTCGGTCTTACAGCTCGGTCGAGGCTGCGATCGCTGTGCCCCAGCTGATCCTGCAGGTGGAGAGGATGAAGGACGATCACAGCAGCGATCGGGACAGGTGGAAGGAGCAGGTGGAGCTCATGGCCCGAGACGCTCTGCTCGTCGTCAACCTCGCTTGCTCCTCCTTGACCGTCAGGTCCCTGTGCCTGAACTTTGCTGACTTGTACGGAGAGGAGAGGTTTTCTGCCCCGCTCCTCCTCCTCCGCCCCGTCGCTACCAAGTCCAACCTCCTCGAGGCTGCCGCTGATCTCGTTTGCAAGAGGAACGTCTCTGAAACCTCAGACCTAGTGCTCTCTGCCGCCTATGAGATCGCCAGAGGAGCAGGAGCAGGAGCAGGAGCAGGAGCAGGAGCAGGAGCAGGAGCAGGAGCAGGAGCAGGAGCAGGAGCAGGGAGCGAGACTTGCGGCATTGCCATGTTCAGCGCCATCGACGTCATGATCGCATTGGGGGACATCCGGCTCAGCGTGTCGACTTCTCCTCTCCGCCTCTTGCTGGAAACAGTGGGCAGCCTTATCAGAGACGTAAACAAGCTGAGTGAGGAGCAGGGAGGAGGAGGAGAAGGAGGAGGGAAGAAGGCGAGTCGGTCTGCGCTGTCGCTGCAGTCGTACTTGCAGCTTCTCGATCCCTCGCCTGCTGCTCCTCTGCAGTTCCTGGCGGATCAGAGGCAGAGGATCTTCGACAGGATGTTGGAACCAAACGCCGAGGAGAAACTCAGCTGGAGCAGGAGGACAAAGTTTCGCCTCCTCCCCTTCACCGTCACTGCCGCCTTCTGCATGGACCTGTTCCATCCTTCCTGCGAGAAGATCTCCTTCTCCTCCTCCGTCTCCTGCGAGCTCCAGTCCTCCTGGTCCGAGCATAGCGAGGAGGGAGGAGGAGGAGGAGGAGGAGGAGGAGGAGGAGGAGAGTTTGAGCAAACATTTACACTGGTGGTCGAGGGAGCATGCTTCCACTGCGACGTGCTGAACGATCGCATGCGTGCCGTCGCGTCCAACCGCGTCGTCCACGACCTCCGCCTCCTCCTGCGATCGACGGAGACGAGGATCTCGAGGGAGGCCCTTGTCGAGGTGGGAGGAGGAGGGGACGGGGCGATCATGGTACAAGTAGGACAGGATGAAATCTTGTTGTGTGCAGAGATGGTCATGTTGGTAGCAGGTGAGTTGAGCTGTAGCAGAGTGTAGTTGTGAACGTTTCTTGTCTGCAGACATCTTCGAAACTTCGCTGCCCGTCTCCGCCCCGCACGTGAAGCGCAGGAGGTGGAGGATGCTGAGGAAGTCGCAGGAGGAAGCAGCTACCACTGCGCAGCCCCGTCAGCTCCCGGCCACCTGCAAGACAGAGAACCTGGACATCGTCCTTGCTCCTACTTGCGCGATCTTACGACAGGACGTGGGAGGAGGAGAGCAACAAGAGCTGTTGAAGTTGAACGTACATGCGCTCAGGTTGGAGGGAGCTGCTGGTTGTGTGGAGGACTGACACACGGAGCAGCATCAACGAAAGATTCGCGCTCTCATCCGATCGCGTCGAAGTCAACGTTGAGCTGTCCAGTGAGTGCAGGAACGAAGGGAAGAACAGGATGGAGCCTGTCCTCGAACGAACTCCCTTGCAACTTCGTGTCGAAACGGACGGGGTGAGGAAGGGTCAAGTGCTTAACGTAAGCGTTGTGTTCCCTTTGCTCCCTCCTTTTCATGGCTCCGGCAGATCACAACCTCGAAGATGATAAACCTTACCTTGGCTCCCGACCACATCAGAAGCCTGGTCTGAACCCTCTCCTGCTCCTGCCGTTGCAAGTCATGACGAGCTTTCAAGGCGATCTTCGTCGACGATGTCGTGAGAGACATCGAGGTTATCGACAAGCAGCTCAGAGTCTGCAAGAACATGAGGGTCGACAGGTTTGCTCAACGTTGTCACTGCAGACAATGAGGACAGAGTGCCAGGCTCGTTCCTCACAAGAGAACTTGCTCGTTCCAGTTTCAGCTCGAAGAGAAAGATGCTGTCATGGTGGAGAACAAGATGCCTTTGCCCGTCGATTTCCAAGTTTGCTTCCAGGACGGGTGAGAGATGTGTTTGCGATGCTGGTGTTTCAGATTTCTTCCTGATCATTGTCTTGTCTTCGATCGAACTTTCATGTTGTTGAGCATTACTACGTCATCATCTCTTCTTTTCTCGTGCCTGCATGTTTGCAGCCGCTGAATTCTTTTGTATTCCTTTGCTCCCTTCAGATCTTGCGTCACCAAGACAGTCAGATCGCAGAAGTCAGATGTCGTCAGTAACGGCAAAGAGATCAAGACTTGGAGATTCAGGTACCCAACTATGATGATGATGATGATGATGATGATGATGATGATGATGATGATGATGATGATGATATTATCATTAGCATCTGCGATCACTACCACCACAACAACAACCACTATCCTATTAACAACAACAACAACAAGAGACAAGAAAACTCACTACTCTGCTCAGGTTGAGGGGAGAAGACACGTGGGAGGAACAGAGCAACCTGAACAAGTCTCCAACAACATGCCAGCTATCGTCCTACAGGCAGGAACCATTCCCCTCCTCCTGCTACAACGTCCGCTACGACACGAAAGGATCCAAGACTTCCGTCCTCCTTTCTCCTCTCTGGAGCTGCTCCAACCTCCTCCCCCACACCCTCCTCCTCACCTCCGGCTCCTGCCACCTGCAGCAAGGCTCCATCTCCATCCGATCCAACACCACTGCTCGGCTCTGCTTCGACCCGTTCCTGACCCCAGTCTACCTCGTCCTCGTCCTCGACAGCTACAATACCCTCTACTCCCGCTCCTCAATCTGGCCAGAGCAAGGCTTCTCATCCGGCTGTACCTTCCTGGACATGTTCGACGAGGACGGGAGGCGACTTCGTCTTGGAGTTGAAGTCTTCCTGCAAGATCGCCAGTCTCCTCAAGTCCGAGTCAGCGCACCCGTCGTGCTTCTCAACAGGACGGAGCTGCCGCTCGTCTTCGCGACCACGGGAGCAGGAGAGGAGGAGGGGGAGGAGGAGCTCGTTATGGCGGCAGGGCAGAGGACGGAGAGTCAGCCAGGAGCCAGCCGACCGCAGAGGAGCCAGCGCGGGGAGGGGAGGGAGGAAACAGCGCTGTCTATGTCCTTTGATCCTTCCATGGAGCAATTCGCTATCAGCCTCGCAGGATCGACGAGATGGACTGTAACCAGTTTCTCCGACATGTGCGCGAGTTATGCGAGCAAGGGGATGGAGATCGTGGCCCGGGTGGAGGTGGAGGAGGAGGAGAAGGGGGAGAAAGAAGAGCAGCAGCAGCAGCAGCAGCAGCAGCAGGCGTGCCGGTCCCACGACCTCGTCCTCTCCTCGCACATGGGAAAGTTTCCGTTCAACCGCACTAGGTACATCATAATCGAACCGTACATGACTGTGATCAACCATCTCGGCTATGAAGTTGAAGTTGATCATCGAGTAGAGGACAAGAGCAACGGAGCAGGAGCTAGCACAGGAGCAGGAGGAGGAGCAGGAGCAGGAGCAGGAGGGAACGGTGGAGATAAAGTTCGCTTGCTCGACGGGGGAAAAGCAATGATCAGCAGGGGCAGCAAACAGGAGGGAGAATGGAAGATGCGATTCCGCATCAAGGCAGGAGGAGGATGGACGGGCTGGAGTGGGGACGTGTACCTGAGCGAGCATACGAAGAAGGCAGCCAGGCTGATTGTTGACAAGGATGGAAGGGATGTCGAGCAGTTGAACGTGATTGTACACGTGAAGGCAGTTGGTCCTGCCATGTTTGCGTGTCTGAAGATGCAGTCCAATGCCGGAGATTTGTTGTTGCTCGACAACAGGTTGAGTTGCGATGATTGTCAAGTGTGGCAGAAGGGAAGTAAACATGGCAAGAAGTTTGCGGTAAGTGTATGAAGGCAGGATGTCTCTTTGATTTCCCTCCTTGTCATGTTGTGCAATGAGAGCTCTGAGATGAATTTTGACTGTGATTGTAACCTTTCGTCTTGTTTCTCGTTCTGATTTGTCGTTCATCGCATCAATGTCTCATACCAAATACATGGCTGATGTCATATCAACGTTTTTATTGTTCATGTCATATCAATGTTTTTATTCTTCATGTCATGTCAATGTTTTCATATCAAAGCAGTGTTTGGAATCACGTGAATGCTTCATCCCTTAATCTCATTCTTCATTGGTCAGCTGCTGGTGCCTGCGGGAAAATGTTTGCCGATGTCGCTTGACGAGCCTGAAGGGAGTGAAGAAATGATGGTGAAGGTGAGAAGACAAAGAAGAGGAGAGGAGAGGAGAGGAGAGGAGAGGAGAGGAGAGGAGAGGAGAGGAGAGGAGAGGAGTTGGGACGGGAGGCGGGGAAGCTGACGTGCAAGAAACAGATTGAGGGCATCAAGGAATTCTGCGTTCCCATGGCGGAGGAAGGAGCAGAAGGAGAAGCAGAGGAAGAGACCAAGGCCAGGAAGAGGAAAATTCGCTGGAAGGTTAAGGCCAAGGTGAGGAAGAGGAGGAGAGAGCGAGGGAGCGAGGGAGCGAGGGAGCGAGGGAGCGAGGAGATTTCTGTAATGTCTATCTGTGACTTGATGAGAAGGGGATAAAAAGGGTCTTGATTTTGACATCGGATGAAACGAGGTCAGTGATATGTTCAGATGCTGTTTGCGCTGACGAGAAGAAATTTCACCATGATCCTCATCCTCATCTTCATCCTCCTCCCTTCTCTCCTCGACGTCTCTTCCTTGTCTCTCGTCAATCTGTCATCATCATCATCATCATAATCATCATCATCATAATCATCATCATCATCACCATCACCATCACCACCACCACCATCATCAACCTGACAACTTTCTGCAGTGCCTCTCAAGTCTCCTCCTCCTCCTCCTCCTCCTCCTCCTCTCAGCTCTTCGAGCTTCACCTCAACCTGGTCGGAATCTCTCTCTCCCTTCTCAGCAGCGACAGGCGCGAGCTTGTCTACTCTCTCCTCTCAGGCATTCACCTCCACCTCCACCTCCTCCCCACCAGCTTCCTCCTCCTCCTCAAAGTCTCCAGCGGTGAGGTAGACAACCAGACCAGCCTCGGGCAGAGCATCGCCTTCCTCTCCCCCTCCCCGCGCCCCTGCGGCTCCTCCTCCGGCTCCTCCTGGTTCCTCTCAGGGGAGGCGGAGTGCTCGTGGGAGGAGGAAGGAGCAACCTACTGGAAGAGGATGAGAGGGGAGGTCGGACACATCACAGTCAACCTGCAGGAGGACTGGCTGTACGAGCTGCTGCTGCTCGAGCAGGAGACGCTGGTGCCTGCGGACGCGAATCCTCCCTCCTCCTGCCTGGACGTGAAGTTCCTCGCAGATGGAGGGGAGCTCGAGAGACTGACGAGCGGCTCTGTGGGATGGGAGGAGCCGAGCTGGAGCAGGCTGGAGCAGGCGGAGGAGGAGGAGGACAGAGCTTTCTTCGAGGAGATCCGCATCGCTCCCATCAGCTTCGACATCAGCCTCTTCGGGCTCGGCGCTGCTACGAGGAGAGCAGGAGCAGGAGCAGGAGCAGGAGCAGGAGCAGGAGTCATGGTGGACGTGTACCAGTGGCTGCGGGAGATAGGAGCGACGATTGTAATTCCGGACCTCCACTGTCACGAGCTGAAGGTGGAGGAAGTAAAAGTCTCTCAGCTCCTGCTCGAGGACCCTCGCGATGTGCTGGAGGTGAAGTACTTCCTGTGTCTCCTCCTCTTCCTCCGTCCTTGTACTTCCTCCCTCCTCCCTCCTCCCTCCTCCCTCCTCCCTCCTCCCTCCTCCCTCCTTCCCCCTCCCCTCTCCCCCTCCCCACCTTCCTCCCCCCCCTCTCCTCCCCTTCGCATGCTGACGGGGGGCTGCAGGTGGTTCTCCGGCCTCTCCAGGAGCGATGGCTCGCCATTCTCTACCGAGCCCTCACCAGCTCCTCGTGGAGCAGCGTCGTAGAGCAGGCAAGAGCAGCAAGAGGAAAGGGGGAGAGGGGGAGGGGGGGAATGAAGAGAGGGAAGGGAAGAGAAAGGATGAAGATGAGGAGGGGAGGGTGGGAAAGGGGACGGGAGGGACGGGAGAGGGAGAAAGAGAGGAGAAGAAGGGAGAGGACGAGAGGACCAGGACCAGGACCAGGACCAGGGGAAGGACGAGGACGAGGACGAGGACGAGGACGAGGGGGAGAGGGAGGAGGAGGAGGATGAGAGGGAGGTCAACGTGGTGATGGTACGAGAGCAGGTGGGCGAGACGGACGAGAAAATTCTGGCGAAGCAGAAGGAAAAGGCAACGATGCGATCGCAGGGGGCAGCCTCCTTCAAAGAGGTGAAGCGAGCGAGAAGATAGATGGGAGGAGAGGAGCAGGAGCAGAAGGGGAGGAGGGGGGTGGAGAAGAGGAAGAGGGGAGGAAGGGAAAGGAGAAGAAGAAGAAGAAGTTGGGATGGGAAAGGAGGTGGTGGTGGGAGGAAGAGGAGGAAGAGGAGGAGAGGGGGGTGGGGGGAGAAGGGTTTTGACTGAGGGCATGCAGGGGTTGCAGCAGGGCTTCTCAATGGCGCGTGAGAACATGCTTGAGGGGCTGAGAGGGTTCGTAGAGAGACCGTTAGAGGGAGCGCGAGCTGAAGGAGTCCAGGGCTTCTTCAAAGGTCTAGCTCCTTGCTCTCCATCCTCCTTGCTCCTCCTCCTCCTCTTCTGCCTCCTCCTCCTCCTGCTCCTGCTCCTCCCTCCCTCCTGCTCTTCTCTCCCCTCCCCAAGCCCTTCTCCCTCCCTCCTGCTCTCTCCTCCAACTTCTCTCCTCCTCTCTCCTACCTCTCCTCCTTTCACTTTCCTCCTCCTCTTCCTGGCCCTTAGCTCCTCCCTCCCTTCCCCCTCTTCCTCCTCCTTCTCCTCCCTCCCTCTTCCTCCTCTCCCTCCCCCTCACTCACCTGATCCTCCTCCATGGCAGGAGTCGGCTCGGGTGCCATGGGCCTCATGACGCGTCCAGTGGCGGGGGTCATGAACTTGGGGGATCAGATCAAGGAGGGAGGGATCGTGAGGAGAACGGAGAGGATTCGCAAACCTCGTCCCGTCTACTACCATGGCTGCTTCCTCCTCTTCGACCCCT